AAATTGCAAATTCCTCGCACATGTAACATCTCCATTGGGCCAAAATGCACCGATATCAATACCTCATATGTTACTTGGTTCCTCGAAAATTCTCCTCTTGGACTTAGCCTAAAAGTGTGGACACTTTTTAGCCTCCGGCGAAACCTAGAGTCTATACGGCTTCGCCGCACGACTAAAAAGAAATCGAAAGTTTTGAAAAAAAAAATTAGAGAAAATCGTTAGTGTAAGAAATAAGGGAAAGCTTGAGGCGAATTGTGTCTGACTTACCCTCTTTTAACTTTGCAGAAGTCAAAAGCAACAGTTCTATAGGACATAGCTTTCTCATTCAAGTATCGTGCATACCTCCTAATGAAGGGTGACATGTCATAACCTGTGGAGAATTAAAGAGACATTTTATTATTGGATCTTATTGAGGCATCTGTTGATGAGGAAAAGAAGCATCAGCTTACTAAATTATCAACTGTATAGTAAATTAATATCAGCTATTCATCTTCTCAGACATTTTTACTTACCCTCATCCATTATTCAGAATACTTTGAGTACATTTTCTAGCAAAAATACAATATTTTACTCTGCACAAATGTCAAATTTAGACCAAGCACCATGTAATGATTTAGATCACAGGTAACGCAATGACCATGGACCATGGGCTGAAGGTACCGCTGAATATGAATTCATGTCCATACAAATTTAATAGACGGCCATTAGCCTTTAAATTAATAACTACAATTAAGTATATCAATTACACTAATAGAATAAGTCAAGATAAATCCTTATAACATACTATCACTACCTCTTTTTTTTTTTTTTTTTTTTTTTTTTTAACCTGCTTGTTTTCGTACTTCTAGTTTGTCGCGTTTTTTTTTTTTTGACACATCTTCGTCCTCCTTGTGGAGATAGTCTGAACAGGGACATCTTTTTAACCATTTACTTCAAATAATGTTGCATAGGAAACATTTCTCAAAATTGCATTCCAACTTCACCAAAATTTACTTCACCATTACTTCACGTTCATGCCGAGATGCATTGGTACGTAAATTAAATTAATAACAATTTGTAATTTCATGCATCTAGGCTACTCTTGTTAAGTCTTTAAAATTTGATAGATGCAATAATGCAGAATTATAAGAAATTACAACTTCACCATTTGTTAATGAACGACTAATATGCATCGGAGCTGCATCATACAACTGCAGCAATTTACTATAGATATTTCGCTGTGGCGTTAGAGTAGGGAACGAACTTGAAACACCTGGTGCTTCTAATCATGAGGGATTCTGAGAATTTGCCCCAATATTTTGTTGCTGGGACATTTTTTGATAATTGCTTTCTTCTTTACTCACACTTCTAATAGGGTTTCTACTAAACTTCATTTTTAAAAAAAACTCTAATGATAAAACGTTAACTAAATGATATTAAAACGTGATCGAAAAATGCTAATATGTAATTTAGCCGTTGTGTCAAGAATTATGTCCAAACTGAGATATTCATGGTAAATATTAATACATATCAATAAAATTAAAAAACTTGTTTTTCCTACAACCCCATTATTTTGCATATAAAAAGATCCACACGATAAAATATTCAGATGTCAAGACTTTATATGCAATGGGAGCAACAAGAGGCAAGACCGTAGTGCAAGAAAAAGAGAAAATGCTTTATGTTCCAACTCACCCACTCTTGCTCCTGCTACAAGAAGTAAGCACAGAAAGTAAAAAAGGAAGAAAGCAAAAAAAAGAATTAGGGAACAATTAAAGATTTCAATCTTATTTCATGAAGGATAGGTATCATCTTTTGAAAGTGTGATGACAAATTATATGGATAATTTTTTTAAAAAGGATTTTCAGCCAGTTATACCCAGCACTTGAGTGAATACTTACACAAAATTTTAATCAACTGTTGGGGTCATCAACATTATAGATAAAAAAAACATGGGTTACTCAAAAAGTTCACATGAAATAATTTGAAAATGCCAGTTGATGGCATAAAATCGAATGTTTCAAAAGGAATTTTTGTAAATCTGTACATCCTTCTACTGAAACTTATCAGTTAAAATTGTTGGCAAGAATCAAATTATATGCTGGAGATTTATTCATGTATATTCAATTGAAAAAGATGGTGAAAGTACTGAAGTTAAAGGTCTGTAATCAAGAGGCGAATATTAACTCACCTTGAACGCCACTTTTGTCTAAAAAATTGCTTAGTTGAAATGAGCTATTACTAGAGGCTAAATATTGGGTGAAACGCTGAAACAGAGAAAAAAGGGTTGTGTTGAAGCAACTGTTTGACAAGAAAGTACACTTCTATTTGTGCTACTATGATAGATTTGTATACTGTGTCTATTATGAGAAAGACAATTCCACTTACCAACCATACATCACATTATAATCCTTGTAAAATGGTAAATTGTTGCATTATACAGACAATCAATACTTCCGAGCAAGAACTTCAATGACTTAAAATCTAAAGTAAGTTAGTACTAACAAAGGTATCAGGATCTCTTTAGATACAAATCGAGTTTCGAGATGGAGCTCTACATGAAGATTCTTCACGAAAATTCATCATAAACATGTTTGCCATCTCGCTGATCGACTCGCCAAAATAATGTAGAAAGATCGGGTTCGCAAGGCACGTAATTTAACCTAAACCGCGGATGGGGCCTCCTTTGTGCATTGTGTCTAATTTTGGGATACCCTCTCTAAAAATGACGTTAAGTTCGGCTTTGATTCTTCCCCCTCCTCTCAGACAAAATTCCTGCAAAATTCTGCAAAAAAATTCCCTGACTATTAGAAAACTTGCCATGTTTCTTATCACCGAAAGAAAAGTGAAGTTGATTCAACTTACTGGATGTAAATAAAGTGTGCGAGAACTTATAAAACGCTGAATCACCCGCCACAACAGTTACTTTAGCAATTCCAAGATGTAAAACTAATCGCTATGGCGGGTGATTCAACATTTTATAAGTTCTCGCACACTTTTTTTACATCCAGAATGTTAAATCAACTTCACTTTTTTTCGGTGATCTCTTAAGAGCTCCATGAGGCCCATGATGACTGATCCAATGAGAAATCGATCCTCCGCAGGCCATACTCGCACTAAAAGGTTCTCTAGGATAACTCTGCGGTCGAAACCGAATGATGAGGAAAAAGGCTTCGGTGTTTCGATCTTGGATCTCGGGAGCGGGGAGCGGGGGAGGGCAGGGTCGTGACCCTGCCGGACCTGGTCGACCCTGCGGGCCTCGCATCGGAGTCGAATATCTCCTGTCATCTTAGATCGTTTCCACGATATGCCGACGATCACCTGGCCTAAGTTAGCGTTTATCATATCATCATGAAAAGTGACCCTTCATGAGAGAAGGGACATAGAGAGTTCCTACATGCGTTACGCTAAAAACCCGATTTTGGACACCACCAAACCCCCCCCCCCCTCCCGATAACGTAGGGAGGTCTAAACTGCAGTGCTAGAGAAAAACGCAATATGAAAATCCGAATGTTGTAATTATTTGTTGGGAAAATTATTAATATTTTTCCTCAAATTTTCAGATACTACAGATCAAATTGCGCATCAACTTCTACGAAAAAATTGGATGAATTTTCTCAGAAAATTACTTGGTGCTTGAACGAAGCTAAGAAAGCTTAGCAACGTCCGAACGCTCATACGGCGTGATTCTTTGGCAGAGAACTTCTCTCATGTACCTACATTCGCGACGCCCAAATCCGAATGAACCGATTGTGAGCCAGTCGCAACTTATCCTTCAAGTCTTTAAGACACTAAGTACGAATGATTTTCCGTCGCAATTTCGAAGTCAAATTTGTCAGCCCAATTCGACGAAAACCGTTCGACTGAAAACTTTGCCTCGCGGACTAAGCCTTTTTTCCGTGGCGAACACGTTTTGTTCATTTACCAAATTTTGAGATAATATAATTTCGGAATGAAGAGAGAAAAAATTCCCAATGCACAGCTTTTTTCCGGATTTACATATTTCCCGCGTGGATTCGCTAATTTCCTCTTCAGATTTTAGAAATTTTAGTCCATATCGATTGGAGAAAAAAAACCTTGAGAAAAATCGCGGAGATCAAAATAACAAGCTTACAGAAATCCACGGACGAGAGGAAATACGAAAGAATAAAAAGAGTAGGAGGAATAGAAAAAGAAGAATAGAGGAGGGAGGAGAGGAAAAGGAGGAGAAGAAGAGGAAGAAAGAAGGAAAAGAGAAAAGCAGAGAGGAGCAAATGAGAAAAGGGGACGGAAAGGGGTAAGGGGAAGGGAAATGAGAGGGAAAAGAAGAGGAGGAAGAAAAGGAGAGAAATAATCTTAACGCGTAAGCGTGCGTGTGGCAGCCTTATGGGTAAAAGACAAATATTTGTCTCGGATTATGGCATCGAATTGAAAATGGACAGAACAGGTGACCACGAAAGGAGAAGAAAGCTGGGGGCTTATCCATTGCGTCGGGCGTAAGTGGGGGACAAAGCACGAGCATGCCTGGTTCCTGCCGCTAAACGACATAACATTAAGGTGGATCCTCAGCTTTAGCGTAGTACATTCTGCGTATGATCGAAATATTTCAGGTTTAAACCATTTAGGTGGGATTATTTGGAAAAATCGAGATTTCAGTACCTGAATCAATCGGGAATGAATCGTGCTGAAACTTATCTTCCAAAACCGTAATACATGTCAAAAAGCACCTTCAGTTTCCAATGAGCAACCGGTTTCAAGGGATCGATTGTCGATGTTCAGCTTACAGGAAACCATACTTTTGACTACATTTCAAGATTTTCAAAAATTATTTTCGTCATTTACATTCATTAATGATTGATCCAAAGACTGAAAGAGTCTGTCAATAAAAGGTCCTTTGTGTGACTCTTTCTAAAAGAGCAGGGATTTCGTCTAAATCCATCCCGAACAAAACTTTATGTTGAAAAGACCCGGAAGTTAAAGTTTCAACTTGCGCTCAGATATCGTTTTGGTAATATGGTATCGGAAAGTTCGCATTTGTCACTATTAAAGATGCCAATATTTTGAAGTCGTTTAGTTAAAAAAAATAAAGGAGAAAAAAGCCTAGCATTGGTGGCTTAGAGCGCAATGTAAAAACAACGGGTTCGACGAAGTCTCAATCCCAGAATAACACTACCTGACGAAATTGTGCCCCATAAAGTTGTTTTTTTGACCGAAACTCTTCAAAATATTAACATTTTTGGATTCACTTTTTAAACGACATTCAGGCAGAATAAGACAGGGCGGGGCTTTTCATGTTGACAACTCAGTAGACATAAGCAAAGCATTCACTGATGTTTATAATTTCGCCATGATACAACTATTCGTACTCTATGGACACGCGTGTTGCGTTTTCCAGACTGGAGGGCGCTCCGGTCACTCCATACTCCATGAAGCTCCACTGTTTCATGGTCTAGAGCGACCGGAGCGTTTTCAATTTTTCGTTCCAGATTTTCGTGATTCACTTGTGAGTTTTCGTGAACTTAGGCCCCTTTTCCCATGGACGGCGACGAATATGCAAATAAAAGATCATAAAGCCTTTCCAGGGTGTCCCCAGTATTTAATTTTGGAGTTTCCCGATTTTCCGCACAAATAAATAGATACTCGTTCGATTGAAAAATCGACATATAATGATTTGAATTAAATGTCTGAAAAATATTTAAAGCTCTCAGAATTTCCTGATCCATGGCAAATTTTCCTAATTATTTCTGATAACATCGAATTTTCTAATATTTTCCGGGTTTTATACTGACAGAAGACACCCTGCTTTCCCTTAAACGGGAACCCGTCAATGAGTTTTAAAAAAGATGCATGGAGTCTCAACATACAATACGAGTGGATGTATTTTAAGCAAAAGGAAGTATTTCATAGTGAACTGGGCCCTATGACAGTATGATACGAATAATAATAAATACATTACAGAGCCCATGTCACAACGAAGATAGTTCCTTCAGATTTAAATACGCTCATAGGATCAACCGTGCAGTGTACGTATAAATTAAACGAAATAAAATGCGGACGAGTTCCAACCCCTGCGCGCGCTTACTTCGACATATCTTGGCCAAAAGCCACAAAAGCTGAAAAGTTGAGGCTTGAATAGGGGCTTGGAAGGGCGATGAGCTGATTGGCCTGACATCAATCGATGTTGCCACGCTGAAGCATTTCTGCGTCCACTGGTAAAAAAAACCTCTTGGACCAATAGCGCTGTGCATTGACTTAAGAGTGCAGTTTCTTGTCGCCGGACATACGAGTCTTGAACTCTTGTTTCAGGCGGATTTTGCATTGATTCAATTCAAACGTGAATTGAATCAATGCAAAATCCGCTTGAAACAAGAGTTCGAGACTCTTAAATCCGGCGACAAGAAACTGCACTCTTGAACCAAGATGTTTTTTTACCAGTGTCCGCTCTGATACTCGCAACGTCTCCGGTGAAATAGCAGAAACATGGTAAACGATAAAAAGAAAAATATGGGAAATAAAAAAAAAAAAAGAGAATGAAAAAAAAAATTGAAAGAGAAAACTCGAAAATAAAAAAGAAGAAATGAATAAGGTTAAAAATGGACAGACATATTGGAAAAAAACCTAAAATGGACAAATTTCTGCTAAGCGGAACTAAGAGTCATCATAGGGGCAATAAATGGAGTTGGATTGGCGGATGCAGGTGACTGACGAGCTCCAACTGTTACTGGCCTATGCTCACGATGTTTTTCCATCGCGCTTAGTTCCGTTTGACAGAACGCGCTATCCAGGAATCTAAAATCCTCAAAAGGAACTGAAATTGGCGCTTACTTCCGTTTAGCAGAAATACGCCCAAAATATAAATAAGAAAAAGTGCGAACGAAAAAATTAAACAGGAGTAGAAATAATATCGAGAGAAACTCGGTAGAAAAGAGAAACATAGAAATTCCGATACTTACTTCATTTCCATAACACATTAGATGGTGGACTGTGATGAGAGCTTTGAAAACGACCACCCAATTTGCATTTTGGGATCGCTCTATGAGTAAATTTGCCAACTGAGGAATTGAGACATTCGGCTCATTTGTACAGTGAATTAAATCTGCAACAAAAGAGGAAGAAAAAACATGAAATTGTTTCCTTACTTGACGTCAGAGGGAAAATTAAAAAAGGCAAGTATTTCTGAATAAAACCTTCTGCCTACATGCGCATACCACCGACTTAAGTTTTGACACACACGACGGCGGCATATACGGTGATGTTGCAAAATGGCTGCTGAAATTCGGTAATTTGAGTGACTTCGCTCTTTTTTAATATGTAACACGCATCACCAAAACGTAAGGCTGGCTCGTTACACACTTTATGATGGATATCAATGGTCAAAGTCGTGAACCCACCATTGATTTATGGTATCTTACTTAAATTTTATTTTTTCCAAGAAAAAGAAACCGTCAAAGTAAAATTTTAAATCCTCTCTCCCCCTCGTAACGTACGGTAACGTAAGCCCGCATAAAAAACCAATTACGTAACGTTTAGTTCTCCTAACCCCACTCCCCCTTAATTACGGAGCAGATTCCTCTGGTAAAATTTAACTACCGTCATTTTTTTTAAAATTTGAAGGTCCTTCTTTTGCTGTGCGTATTGGTCGACTTTATACAGCGCACAAGGGGTCGATAATATTCCCGATCACGCAAAAATAGTGGAATCCCCTCAGAATTTGTTTTCCTTCCGTCTTTTTTAAGACTTTCGGCACGGAAATGTTAAAATATGCGTTGAATACGCCCTTTTCACTACCGTTTTAAAATTTTCTTCCTCCCAATCGCCAGTAACCCTGGTAAAAATTGGCAGTAGAATATGTGTTCCAAAATACCATAGACCTACCGCCGGTTGTAAGATTTCCAATAGCTTCTATAGCCGGCTACACAATTTCTTGTAGCCTTATATAGCCGATGGCGATTAAGCAACAGCCAGGCGATAAAGTGTATGCTAAACGTTACTAATTACGGATGCTAGAACTTCGTGAGTGTTTGGACCACTGCTCTCTTTTTGGGCCGTAGTATCTTGATTTATTTTGCGACGAAAGCTCCGTACTTCTGATGGATGCCTGCCATTCCTACTAGATTAGATTGCCTTCAGTTTCGTATGATACTGTACAATACTTCTGGTGTGAAATAGTTGCTTCAAGCGCCGTGGGTGGCACGCTGCAGCGCGGCAGGCGGGCAGGCAGCTCGAAACGCGCATTGGCGCCTACAAACCTAACAGGGATACTTCACGCGTTGCGCAATGCGTGAAGTATCCCTGTTAGGTTTGTAGGCGCCAGTGCGTCGCCGCTCCGCTTCGTGTTAGGCTCTAATATTTAATCTCGCGGAGTCAGCGTTTTTCAACTCATGACTTTGAAATGTTTGCACATCCGTATGGATTATTCTCATTTTAATTGAGGAAAGAAAAATATGTATTAAAGGAAAATATAATGTGTGTTTTGTAAATATTAAGGTGGTTCCGTATCAAACTTAATGATTTCCAAAGCACACGAATTTCTACACTATTTCTTATAGTCTTTTATAAATGGCGAAAAAGCAACAGCCAGGCGATAAAGTGTAAATCCCGGTGATAGGAACTATAGCCCGGCTGCATAATTTTTTATCGCTTCGTATGGCGCCGGCCATATGATTTTCTCCGCATTCTACAGCCAGCTAAATGATTTTCTGTAGCCTTCTTTAGCCGGCTATAAGAATTCCTGTGGTATTTTGAAACGCAGCTCTTATCGCCAATTTTTACCGGGGAAAACCTGATGACGAAAAAAGAAACTAACTATTACCTACTTTTTGGCTCTCGCGAAATCTTCCTGCCGCGCACTAGGGCGCTTTGCGACGCCGAACCGCCACACTGCTGTGCTAAGGAAAAACACCGTATGAAAATTCGAATGTTGCCAAATATTCCCTGATAAAGAAATTATTTTGGAAGAGGGTTATGCATATTTCGCCTTGAAATTTCGGATATTTTAAATTAAATTACGGACAAAATTTTCTGAAAAACTGCGGAGAAAAAATATTTACAACTTTTAAAATAAATCCGTATTTTTTCAAAGGAAAGGAAATGCCTGGAGGTCCATACGGCGTTTCTCTTAAGCTCGACAGCACAGGAATCCGTACTTTCCTGCGCGGCAATTTTTACCTTTTGATCGTATGTTCCTTCCGTTTCGCGGCACCCTGCTCGGGGTATCAACGCAAAATTGTCATCCCGCCTACTCAATTCGTTTCCATTGGCCACTGGAAATACAGTCGGCGACAAGATCACGTCTGCGCCTGTTGGTGTTCGTGTTCTTGGCGTTGAACTGTCAAAGATAAAGCTCAGCTATCGCGGCAACTAATTGCTCGTTCGTCAGAGCATAGATTTCCTCTTTTTTTTAATGATGCTGCGTATTCTGCACGGGTGGCTTCGTTGGCTCCACAACCGTACCAGGAAAGAGCCACAGAACCTCGATGCTAAACACAGTGTACTTAAGTGGTTTCTGCTACGCTCGGCAGCGCAGTCGGGCCAGTGCTAAAACACGAGCAACATGAGTATCAGATTACGAGAGCCGGCAACCTGCTCGTAAAGCCTGCTGCGGCGATGGTTGCCCTACAAAAATGTAGGTATGGAAAAAACACTTCCACCGAAAGGAACGGCAAGTCCCAAAAAGAAGTACCGACAGATCGGTTCATGGAGGGCTTAGGGCCCAAAAGTGCAGCCACCCTTCTAACCAACTTCTAACGCACAAAATTTCACTGCCAGTCTGCAGATTCCAATTCTAACCAAGATGGCCAAGAATGTACAGAAATGAGCGTTCTTCCGCGAAATTGAGTAAATTTATGCAAAAACTGAGTCAAACACGTGCTTAATAAAGGACGGTTCATAACAATAGTATCAGTAAAACGCTCTGGATAATTGAAATTCATAGGTTGGCTGCCCTTTTGGGCCCTAACTTTATTCGCAGAGGCATCGGTGAAGGCCTGATGGACTTTCGGAGTTTCAGATCTGTCGGTACTCTCCCTATACAGGTACTCTACCAGAAAGTGGCCGTTCACAATAGGGTTCGTGACAGCTTTTCATAACCGAAATTAAGGCTTTTTCGGAGAGTTACGATAAAAAAGTTCGGTTTTTTTTAAACGAACTCCTGACAGTGGCGAGGCATAAATAATCGATTTCGAGATTTCCCATTTGAAGCTATAGTAAAGAATCGATTATTAACACTCCCACCGAAAGGAACGACAAGTCCCAAAAAGTGGCCGTTCACGATAGAGTTCGTGACAGCTTTTCATGACCGAAATTAAGGCTTTTTCAGAAAATTACGATAAAAAAGTTCGGTTTTTTTAAACGAACTCCTGACAGTGGCGAGGCGTGAATGATCGATTTCGAGATTTCCCATTTGAAGCTATAGTAAAGAATCGATTATTAAAGTGTTCGTTGCGAACATCCTGTTTATCGATCCTTTTCCATAGGTTCAAAATCAGATCAATCTATATATCGCATAGCACGCCACGCTACCGACTCCTAAGCTCGAAGGAAACTCTCAAAGTTGAGGCCGTAATGAAAACTGTGATCCTCGGTTTTATGAGAGGATCCGGGTTCGCCGAAAAAATGAGGTGTTATTAGATGCAAAGACTACCCGAGTGGCAAAATCGTGGTTCTACAAAAGGGCGACTGAATATTTCATAATAGCACCAGTCTGTTCGTTACATTATCAGGTATAGCATCGGCCGAGATCTCTTCCAATATGGCCTCAACATTGAGAGCTTTTTTTGAGCTTGAAGCTCATTTTAAAAAAAATAATAGCGCCGTGTGTTCGCTGTTCCTTGCAAAATTAGACACAAAAAAGAAGTTCGATCAGAAACCCCTAGGCATGAAAGTTCTCAGTTTCCCAAGATTCAAGGACGTACAGAGACTTGAATATTCGAGAGGAAAAATTTGAAAGCGACCAAAGGTTTTTCAAAACGACGCGAACCCTGGTGTTAAGCAGAGCAACTGAAAAATTTATCCGACTTATCCGAATTTTGGGTCTCTGACCAGCGCGACTGACCATGCAGCGAGAAAATGGTGTCCATAAAGCTTGGAGTGTGATTATTGGAATTGATAGACAACGCTATAGACAAAGAGGGGTAAGGGAAAAGGAAGTGATCCTATCGGTTGAAACGAGTGGCGGTTATAGACTTACTTAAAGAGTCTTCCGTAGGTTTCCGCTGGTTAGTCTGTTACTTACCTCCTTTATGCATTTCAACCACCCGCTTCCATCAATAGGATCGCTCCGTTTGTCTTCTTTTTCTACAGCTTTGTTTATTAATTTCAATAATAAGCCCGGAGATGACCTCCGAAAAATAGTTCCGTTACTTGTTATCGTTCGCGGCTAACATTTACGCTTAATTTGAAAACAATCGTGCGTTCTCTGTACGATAGTCGTAGGACGATTCGCATATTTTGTTGGGATTTCTGAACTGCTGTCGTGCTCTCTGACAAGCGCTACAATTTCATATCGGTCATTATCCGCATCGCACATGGATTATACTCTTTTCATGATCTCATTCTTCATTATGCTTTAATACTCCTCTCTCTCTTCATGCGCCTAGCGCCTGCCCACTCGTCTTTCCAGCCTGATGAATTTCCAGCAATTCCAGCTCGAGAAAATATCTCTGCTACATTCAGAGCGCGATCTTCTCCGCTTCGAGGCCCATACTTTCAAGTACTCACGGCTGCAGACGGCAAAATTCCAAATCCCTTGACTTTGCTAGCAAAATTCCTGACGTTTATTTAACATCAAAATTACCTGTTGTATACCCCTACATATGGCCCTACAGCTGTTAAAAAAAAATTAAATCCCTGATAAGGTATGGAATGATTTTCCCGTTTGTTGTTTTTATTTCATTTTATTTTATTTTTTCATTATTGTTGTTCTACGTCTCTCTCAAAACCAAAATTACCTTTTTTCTATAGATTTGGGTAGAATATAAAACAACACTATTACAAATGATGATATATTCTGGTCTCACACTGAGACCCAGCGAGAAGCCTGTGACTGACTGAAAAATTTATCGGGACGATAGACAGTGATTTTTTCGATCGGTATAG